GTATATAAATCAAATAAAGTTTAGAAAACGCTCTTAACTTTTAATTAGATTATTGGAGAGATGCAACAAATTAATGATAGTATCAGAGAGAAGCATGGTGGTGTAATTCAACTGCTAAGGGGAAATAGGGTTTCTTAAAAACAAAATACTGTGGCATCTTGTAGTGGAAGGCAGTACCAGCATTCACTGACAATATTCTTGGTTGTGATAGCTTTTGTGATTAGTTTCTTGGATATAGCAAAATAGTAACATTCTCTTTAGTCAGTATGATAGATGCTCTAAGGGCAATGCATTCATGTAATTGTAGTGGTTCCGATACACGACCGACATGTCTTTTGGCTTAAATCGGTTCCAAAGCCAAGTGTTTTGCCTGAAATAAAGTGAAGGAAGTACATAATTAAAGTTGGTAGTTTTCATGGAAGATCAGGAAGGATGCTGCTTCTGAGCTAAAGCATACATTGGATGCATCATTTCCTACCAAAAAGGGGGAGTGTATCTAGCATGGCAGTGTAGCAGGGATAAGTTTTTCAATGATTTGGTACTGGTACAGAAAAAGTGTTTTTTAAATTATTTTAAGTTGTCAGCCTTCATTAACTGTTGTAAACACTCTTTGTTGGTCAAAGGGGTTTTCTGGTGGGCATGGAATCCCTTTCTGCTTAGCTGTCACTAAGATGCCAGCATGAAATCCTCAGGAAAAGATAGTTACACCTTTTAAAAATAAGTGATTTTATTTTAGCAGGAGAGCAGGGTCATTATTTTCTCAGCTCAGAAGGCAACCTTGAAAATTCACTTAAAATTTTATTTGGAGAAAAATGCCAAAATATAATAATGAAAACCTGGATTATACAATACAGGAGGTTTTGTGGAAACGACCTGTGCTTCATTAAAGTTATAGATATCAATCTGCTTTTTCCATCAAGATACATAAATCAGATTTAGTTAGCGGGAATATGTTATAGGACAACTGCTGTTGGTGTGATCTCATTGCAAACGGATTCAAAAACATACAGATCAATCTACCTGCCTGATGTCTCCTGTGGTGTTAATTCTGCAATTTTTATTCCAGAGATTTCCTTGTTGTACAGATCTAGTGCTTGCTTTGGCAGAAATGATTGATCAGTGTCCTGAAGCAGGAAAAGATAGGCCAATTAAGATGTGAAGGCTAGATTAGAATATGGTTAGATTTTAGTACATACCACTAGAGTATTACAACCATACTGCAGTGACTTTGCTGTTTGGCAACTTCTGGACTTTAATCTAGCCTCAATTTGATGCCCTCCTAGTACTTTCCAAGAACAGGGTTAATACTTTTCCAAATGTAAGTGGATGGCTATGTAGTGACATTATGAAAGTATGATCAGTAACTTTGGCCTTTTTCCTGGGAGGGTGGAGAAGAAATTTATGTAGTTGGTTGTCCTGCCCACTCACTTTGATAGATGGGAACTTAAAGCCAATGTTTTTTGAGCTTCCAGCTCCCTCTGGTGATAAGGACAGCCTGGGAATTCAGTCTAGTTCCTGTCTCCACCTTGACAGCAGTTCATTCCTTATCTCCTTTGTGTTTTTTAAAAGCCTTTTTCTCCTTCCTTCGCTGTCTTCTTTCCTCCCCCCTCTGAGACAGATGTCTTCCATGTTGCTGGAGATGTGCTGCATCAAGAGAACAGCCTGGATCCACTGACCCCCATGAGGCAATGTACAGCTGAGCCCAAGGCAATGCCTCTGCCATACCAGAAATGTGGGAGCCCTGTTGGATTGCTTCCTGTACAAATAGGTGCTTATAGAGGCTTCATGGGGGATAAGGGGTGAAACCAAAGCATCTCCAAAGTAACAGTCACCAAAAAAAAAACCTTTGCCTCTGCCAACATCATTGGAAACATGCCCTTTATTCAAGTACCACTCCAAGAAATTCCTGGTATCTTTAGTGTCTCAATTCTGCACCCAGCAGTAACCCTTGGGGGGGGGGTAGAGACCCTCACAATATGAGTGGAGTCCCCCCCCCGGTTTCCCCATCAATTCAACTTGGTGGAATAAATAGCCTTGTGACAAGGAAGAGAGCCATGTTCCACCACCACCACCTCTGGCCCCCATGGACCTGCCAAGAAAGTAGCATGGCTCACATGTGCCTCTTCCTACATGATGGCCATTTTGAGAGTCCTTGGTGGGAGTAGCTGGCAAGAGCTGATGCTATTTTGAAGTGTGTGACTTCCAGCAGCATGGGAGATGCTCCCTGCTCATTGCTCGAAGAACTAAATGGGCTATATAATCCCTCAGTTAACTGCCCTGGAGAGAGATCTCGCTGGTGCTGCTGGGGTGCTGGATTTGAGGCGGGGGTGCGGGGGAGGCAATTTCCTCTCAGAGTCAGAAAGGAGAGCTGTCTGAGGAGAGGAAGGGTTGGAATGCTTCTCTATTCTCCTGTATTGTTCCACGTGGAGGATCTTGTGCTTCAGAAATCCTTCAGGACGGATTAGAAAGGCCTGGAAATCCCAGCCAGGTCCTTAAGCCAAGCCTACCTGAAGGCTTGGGAAAAGTTTTTGAGAAGGTTCCCCCTCCTCCTTAGAGTTCCGATTTCCTTGTGCCTTCCTGATGAGAAATGGGAGGAACCTGCAGTCTCCTGAGGAAATTCCCCAGGGTTAAAAAAATGTATAACTGGCCATATTCTGTTAGTAGCAGACCTTGGGCCCCCTGGTGGGTGTCACCTGTAGGGACTCCTTTTTTTTTCAATGAATGGAGGAGATGCCCCCACAAGTCAAAATGACAAAAGGGGATTTCTGCTTTCCAAAGATTCTCGAGGCCCTATCTGCAGGCTTTAGGCTTGTTCAGAGGGTTTCCATTATGCAAAAGCACTTTATCTGTGGGCCAGAGATGTGCTGTGCTGTCCGTTTAAGTTTGCTATGAAGCTTAGCCAGGTACTGAATAAAGTTATTAAAGCAATTTTCCTTGCAGCAGATGCCACTCTGGACTCCATTCAGTTTAGTGCCAGAGCACAGATGGCTGCTTCTTCAGTACATTATCACATAGCTCAAACATTGGCAGGCTGACGAGAGAGCAATACAAATGTCACCATTTGAGAATTCCAAATTATTTTAGGAGTTCTTCAATCCACTTAAACTTCAATCCACTTTTTAACTTAATCTTTAGACTAAGAAGAAACAAGAGGAGAAAAAGTTCTGACTTCAATATCTAGCAGAGAAACAAAAGGCACCAAACTAGGATCTTTCCCTTCATAGCAACAGACTATAATTCATACACAGTGAGTATAAAGGGTTCCAGATCCTTTGGGAGACCACAGCCAATCCCGACAGAATTCCCAGAACAGCCAGAAATCATTCAGTCCTTTCCATCCTAAGTCCCAGATCAAGTAGCTAAAGTCTGCATGGTGGCAGCCCACCTACCCCATAGGAGAGAGAGAACAACAGCCTGAG